CTCTCTGTCTCTCTCACCCCCACCCTGCTGTCTCTCTCCCCCTCTCTGTCTCTCTCCACCCCTCTCTGCTCTCCCCTCTCTGTCTCTCTCACCCCCACTCCTCTCTCTGTCCACCTCCCTCTCCTCTCTCTCTCCCCCCTCTCTGCTCTCTCTCTCCCCCCCCTCTCCTCTCTCTCTCTCTCTCTCTCTCCCCCGTGCTGTCTCTCTCAGTTTGTGCAAACGATCAGCAACTAAACCAGGCTGGAATTTCACCCAGACATATAGAGTTCTGAGTAGATTGGAAGCAAGCTCGCAATGTTACTTTTCTGCAAAGGAAAGGGATTTGACAAAAGGCACGGGGGTACAGAAATGCTCCCCAACAGGAGTTGGCAGCTGCGATGAAATGCAACGCTGTCCAGCCCACTGGAGCCTAAATGGGGGAATACGTGAAGCTTCGGGAAACCTCACTAGGATGCAGACTGAGCAAGCCAGCGGCACGGGGTTGGGGGCGGAGGGGGGAAGGGTCCAGATTACTGAAGCACTTTCCCAGCTACCATCAGCTCTGAGGAAGGGTCACCGGACCCGAAATGTTAACCCTGAGCTTTTTTCCTTCACAGATGCTGCCAGACCTGCTGAGCTTTTCCCGCAACTTCTGTTTTTGGTTCCGTTCAACATCTTGTCGAGTTCAAAAAAAAACAAACCGTAACGTAGCGCCCCGCAGGTCAAATCACAAACTTGATGGGCGTGTGTTCTATTAGACTGAAACCAAGGATGTTGATGGAAGCTTAGCCATGTGCTGCAGGCACTGACACCTGATGCACAGTACTCACTCCCTCACAGCTCACTTGCCTGTGTCACTGGATTGGGACTCGGGATTGCATTACTGTGTCCTCTGGCCTTTCAGCATTAAGGATCTCAGGGTGCAGCCCAGCTAACCTACAATGATCGACAGATTGGTTCCCCTCCCTGCAGCTGCACGGCCCTCCCAGGCGTCACTGCCCACACAAACAAGCTAACAAACACACACACACACACACACACACACACAATCTGGAGGTTTACTGTCGTGGGCCCTTCACAGCAATAGCTGGTGGCATCCACATTCAGTTCATAAAGGCTGGATCGAGGGGGATGTCTCAGTCACAATGACTGGTCACCCGAGCATTGAGGGAGAGGAACCTGTCATTCTTACTCCTCCTGGCCTCCATGGTCAATGGGGGCTGGGAAACCCATGTTGGCCACGGCAGCGACACACCCACATTCCCATGCCTGCATCCCCCACCATATTCTGGTCCTGCTCTGCTTGTGGCCTGGAACTGCCCACTTCCGATCGACAGAACAGATTCCCAAGCCCAGAGCCCCCAGTCTGTTTGAGGCTCAGGTGGACCGGCCCCAGTGGGAAAGAGCAGACGGGGAAGGGGTGTAAAAGGCGGATGGTTGGATAGCATCTCCCCCAAAAGGGCTGAACGGCCTGCTGCCCATTGTGCCCTTTACTCAGGCCTGTACCTCGCAGGTTCCCATGCTACGGGACAGCGATCTCACCTTGAAGCCACCAATGCGGTGGTCTTGCTTGAAATCTTTGCCGTTCTTGAGCCAGTGCAGCGTCGGCAGTGGGTTCCCACCAGCCGGACACCGGAATTTCACCGTCTTCATTGCGGGCACCGCGTGGAGTCGCTTCTCCATCTTTTCCGGCTGTGACCAGTATGGTGCTCCTGTGCACAAGA